CTTGTTGTAATTGATGATGATGTTAGCAACAAGACACAAGTGACAAAGGAAACGTGTTGTCTCTCGTGGAGACTTCAAAGAAGAAGATTAGGATTAGTTGGTTTTTAACTAACTTGGTGGCTGTTGTAGCCATTTGTTTAGTGTTGTTGTTGGGCTTGACCCTTGGTTATTTCAACAAGAGATTAGGATAACTTGTTTTCAATGTTATAAATAAAAGATCAAACCCCCTCTTCTGGATGTATAGTTGGTATTCATCTTTTTTTCTCAAACGTTCTTGCATCGTATTGTGTCTGGTTAAAGCATTTAGCTTCTTCTTTTCCTGATGGTTGGTTGGTTCATGCTGCTGCAGATGTTTCTATATGTTTATATGTAAATTATGTATGAATGAGAGTTGGCAGTTTTGTCATTGTGCGACTCGTATCTCCATTTTGTATGTTGATCAGAGGTAGTCTTTATTTCACTTGTTATATATTTGAATCTTTTTGCAATATGATTTTTTGTTCTTGTAAATTTAGATAGTTGCTTTATCGCCCTTATGTCTATCTTTCCCATATTGCTTGTGAATTCTCTGATTCCTTAAGTCGACTCATCTTTGCCCTTTTTCTTGATAGAACCTGAGATGGGTTTTGTATTTTATTTTCTCATATAAACCATTAATTGTGTTCAAGACAGCAGGCTTCACAAGAGTTTGTGGTTTCTTCTGGTTACGTCCTACACAAGCAAAGAAAATTAAAACATCAATGACCTAGCTCTAGAATGATGCAGGAAAACAGAGTACTCTGCCTTCATAAAGTTAAGACCTGTAAATGAGCTCAAGAACTAATTCAAATAATGTGACATTTGTATAATGATCAAAGCTGTGCTGTGTATAGTGCTTACCCCTTGACCACGACCATGGAACGATATCACAAATCAAAATGCAATCCCTTATATATTAATTGGAAAGTGATTTGTGAGAGTATACTTATGTGTCATCTCCACATTCACTCTCCCAAATAAAATATGACATGGCTAGAAATTAAGACATGGCAAGAGACTAAGGGCATAATTATCCATGAGATGGTGCAAGTCTCATTTGCCTAATTATATTAATATATATAATGTAAAGTGTTGAAATGAGTCTCGCTAAAAATTTGGAAAAAAACTGTTTATCCATGAAACTTTATAGAGTATCATAAAAAAAAATTAAAATATTTTAAATTAAAAATCTCGCCACGGCCAATGACAACGCGACACGTGGCGCGTTGAGACCCACCAAAAGTCTCAGCCCACTGAAACGTTTTATTTGGGTTGAGACTGAAAACTGATTATTTTATTGTTTTTGGGCTTTGAGACTGGCCTTATGAGATCAACAGATCATGGTTAATCATGGTCTAATTATTTCTTACCTTTTAAAGTTTTGATTGTGATGAAAAAATATTTGCAAATATTTATTTATGGAAATTTTTTTAAAAAATATGGATCAATTTTAACTTAAACAAATTTAAAGAAACATTTGGCCACCCAA